GACGAAGGCCAGGGCCGGGGAAAAGGACTGGCTTTAGAAAAGGGAGATGCTGCTTCTGTCATAACAGGAGCGAGGGACGAAGGGACGACACGGATGCAGGTAGGTATTGATTTGGTGCAGATCTGGTGTTGGGAACCGAGGGTGTCTTTTTCTGGCAGCTTCTCCTCTCCCTTAGAAGAAGGAAGCAAGAGCACTCACTGAGATGAGATGAAAGGGGTGGATGAGGGAGGAATCGGTTTGGGGGAAGTGAAGACATTTTTGTGGAGGAGAATATGAATGAGTTGTTGAGAAATGCCAGGACTGGGCGGTGCAGAGAGTCTCACTGAGAGTGACCTTTGTTATGTATCGCTACCGATGCGCCTGGTCATGTGGTTTTTCTTGAACGGCACCCAGCTGACCGGGTGTCAGTGAAGTGGTGGCCGCCAGGTGATTTTCCAGGGCTAGAGTTCTACAAGGCAGATGCAACACGAGAACGTCGAGGCAAAGCAGTTTCTGCCAGTGAGTGAGCGGTTGACGTGTTGGAGCAGTGACTGTCATGACTCAGAGGCACCCCGCTCTGCCTGCCCCAGTAGCACCAGGGACGAGGCTGGGCTCCTCCCACAGGGCAGTCCTCACTGGCAACCTCGCCGGAGTGTCTCCCGAGGTCATCTGGGAGGAAGGGGCCGTGAGGGCCTGGGCAGTATGGAGGGCCCTCACTGGAGTGGCAGTGGCATGCACACACACCCAGGGTGACAGGGGCACCAGGACATCCTTTTCCAGCTACGAGTCAAAGCTATTCTCTAGGCTCCAGAGCACACCCATGCCTGCCAGCCAGCAGGACAGGTGGATGCAAGTGCTATTAAGGGAAGAGGAGGGGCCGCTGTGGAAAGGAGACACTGAGTCTTGTCCCCCACGGGGAGTCTGCGAGTGGTGTAGCTGAATTTGGACGGTTCTCCTTGCGATAGAGCCACCTGTGCATTTTCCTTTCTGGGGACTGTTCTCATTTCTCTTCTCTCCTTAACCTAGATTCATTCCCTCGGTGATCTCACCAAGTCCTGGGTTTGAAATACAAGCCGTACGCTGACAGCTCCTACATGTAGCTCCAGTCTGGACTTCCCAGACTGCAGCCTACTCGAAGCCTCCACTCAGGTGTTCACAGGTATCTCAGACTCGAAGTGTCCAGAGCCAAACATTGCATCACCCACATCTGCTTCTTTTCACTGCCTTTGGAAAGTAAATGGCTCCTCCGTCCTTTCAAATGTCCAGACCCGAGATCTGGAAGTCATCCTTGATGCCGCTCTCAAACCCCCAATCCAATCCATCATCCAGTCTTGCTGGCTTTACCTTCAGCATATGTCTGGAAACTGGCCGCTGCCCAGCCCTCCACCGGCACCGTCTCATGCCCTCTGGATCACTGCCTCTGAACCGGTACCCTTATGTCCTCTCATGCCTGTCTGTGGTCTGTTATATACCCAGCAGCCAGAGTGCTCATTTTAAAACTCAGGTCATGCCCGGCTTCTGCTCAAATTTCCCTTGACTTTCCATCTCACTTGAAGAAAAAGGCAAAATTCTGACAATAAAGACCCTATGAGATCTGGCTCATGGAATCCTCTGACTCATCTCCTGCCTCCGTAGTCTCCACCCCACTCCATCTCTTGCTCTTCTTCCAACGCAATAACTAAGTCCCTACCTCAGGACCTTTGCACACACTGTTCTCTCTGCCTGAGATACCTTCCTTCAGATACTTGCATGGTTCAGTTCCTCACATCCTTCAGGTCACCGCACAAGTGTCACCTTTTCAGAGAGGACTACCCTGACTGCCCTGTATAATACTACTTCACCTCCTTACTTGGCTTTATAGTTATCCATAGCACACACTGTTCCCTGATTTAAATGTGATAGGCTACATAATGCTATGGAAACAAACCCCAAATTTGAGTGGCTTATAATATAAAGAGTTATCCAGCAATATGCTGGAGCCAACTTGCACTGGCTCCAGAGAACCAATTGTTAAGTTTTCAGGAAATCTATGAGCCAGTTTTTACACATAGCCATTATTCAAAGTTAAATGATATAGTTACAATTAACTAAATTGTATTTTTAAAAGGCAATAATCAAAGTGTATCACTTCTAATTTTACATTTTACTGTTATATTAGAAATTGTTATTACTACATACTACTATCATCTGTGCACTCGAGGTTATTTTTGTCTATTGTCGTCTGCATGGTGTAAACACAGTGTATGTGGTCACGTGCTGCTGTGTGTTCTCCACCTCAGCCCTCCTCTGGTGGTGCCGTGTTGAAATCGGCCACACTGAGAGTATTTACACATTGCTGAAATCAGTAAATGCTACAAATCAGGGTTTGACTTTTTTTTTTTTTTTAGTGCTTATCTAGACTTATGAAAATAATGGGGAAAATATTTTATGATGCAGATTAAAGGTGTGCCATGTCTGCCAGGTGTTACAGTGCGAACAGCAGAAAAAGAATTGAGGCAGTATTCTTCCAGTATTCAAAAACTTATACTAGATTCAACTAAGAAGTCACTCATACCATAAATGAATGAGGGAAGTTCTGACCGTATGTCTCCATTGTTTCATCTTATTTATATAACTGAACGTATCAACCAACATTCAGGTTGGAACTATGCTCATTTGTGAACTGGAACCGAAAGCTGAGTATGGATACAAGACTTCAGCAGAAATGAACCAAAGCATTCTATGTCAGTCGGAGATACGCAATTTCAATATGGGGTACTGTATATTTTATTATTTGTAAATTGCATCCTTTATATCAGTGAAGTTTATAATAAATGCACACACACACCCTGCCCCCTCCTCCCTTGGAGAGCTGGTTGTTAAACATTTACCAGCCCACCACTGGGTTCCCCCGTCATGCACGCTCCACGTCCATCTTGGGTCATCTGTTCACATCCCTCACTCTGGGCGCTGGTCATGGCCCTTCCACCACCTGAAGCACTACTGATTGCCGTGGCAGGGGAGAAGGGCCACATCAAAGGCGCTGCCTAGAAGCGACACACACTACTGCTCACGTGTCCTTGACTGATGCAAGCCATACGGCCCTGCGTACATTTATGTGTGCAGAGAAGTGCAATCCTGCCACGTACCTGGGAAGAGGAGAAGAACTGGTATATGTGTGAATAGTCCTAACAACTGCCCCAGCGTATTAGATGTTTATGTGTTTGCTGTCTGGCCTACTCCCATACTTAAATGTTTTAACTTCCACGAGAGAGACATCTCGTTCACTGCTGTATCCCAAGCGCCTTGGACATAATAAATACTGAGACAATCTGAGAGGAAACTAGCCTGAAAGGAGAAAGCCTCTGGGAGCAAGCTTTCCTAGATCAGTGGAGATGGCTATCATTTCACGTGTTCTGCAAATCTTGATAAGCAATGTGATTTGTTTCTCTCCCCACCACCCCCTGCCATATGCGGCTAGAAATCTGTGGCCAAGGAAATCACACAGATGCACGTGGCCGTGTGTCACTATTACAGGCAAGTGAGGCCTCTAGGCCCAGGATTAAGAAGGCATCACCCTCAGATTCATGCAAGGGCAGGGGCAGCCCTGAGAGTGGGCATCTCCCTACATTTTGTGCCCTGGGAGTCACCTTAGTCTTGGCCCTGCAGCCAGGTGTCTCCCAGGAACTCCTGATCCACAGGTTAGTAGACAGTTCCAACTCAAGCGGCTGCTTCTTCCAGACACAGCCAGGCAGCAGCATATGCAAAAGAACTCTGAGCTGAGGCAAAGTTTCCTTCACTCTTTGTCCGGCTCAGAGACTGTGTTAAATTCCAGGGGCTGAATTATGGCTCTAAGTCTTGAGAGATGGGGCAAAGCAAGAGGAGGGAGGCATGACCTATTGTGGAATAAGCCTCCTGGTCTACCTTATTGCTGGAGTCTTGGAACCCAGGTGTTGACTGTTCCTGCAGCTGGGTTTGATGGTATCACTCACCTGGGGCCAACAGCACTAACTCCCACTGTTCCATTGATCGAGTACCTGCTACACGCCACGAAAGGACTGCGGTAGGCCTTCACGTACACATTTCGTTCATCAACCAGCCCCTCAGCTCTATTCACTGGGTATTTCCTGTCTGTCAGAAGGGGAAACTGAGTCTCATGGAGATTAAGTAGCCCTTCCAAGGTCAATCAGGAGGTGGCAGAACCAGGATCTAAATGAAATCTTCCTGAATCTGATGTCTGGCCCTTCTAAACTAGGACTCCTCTATTAACTTGTGAGGAAAAAAAGAAAAAATAGAAACCATCATTGAGGTGACATGAACTCAAGACACTGGGACTTAACTAACCTTGCTCACAAGGTCAAAAAAAAAAAAAAATACCACAGACATGTCCACATTCCATTCCCATAACAGACTCGCTGAATCGAAATAAATCCCAGTTTGACCACAGCAGTTGTTTTTCTTTCGATTTTTATTGAACACAAGTATTCTGACAGAATGCAAAGTCAAAATTCTCAGTTAGTACTCAGTATTTACACCAGTGAGAATGGAAACAAAGGTGGTATCGATGTTTCACTTGGTAAAAAGTTTTATAACAAGAGAGAAGGCCCCCAAAGTACAGAATGCTGGGTAGGGATGTTAATGGAGGTCTGAGAACCACCGTCCAGACAGACAGCCGCGAGTGAAAACCTGGGACTTGGAAGGCTCCATAGAAAAGTGTGAAAATAGAGTTCCACTTCAAAAGCTGCACTATATACACGACGGCCCTTCAGGATCGGGAGGCCCTGCTCACGGCACTCGCGTGCCCCTCCAGCAGAACTTGGCCATGCCGGTCTTTATGCGAATACATATGTATGGTACATACACATATAGACACATAGACATTGGAAACTGGTGGAGTTGATCCCTCCTTCAAAAAATTAAAAAAGGAAAATTATAAGCTTTCATCTCTTAACATAAAAGATAGAACATCTTGAAAATAAAGTGACTCCCTCTTTGATTTTAGAGAAAGCATTGTTTTTTTGTTTGTTTGTTTTGTTTTTTTAAAAAGGAAAACTCATGCATGCTGAGACAAACCTATGTGTAATGGGAGAGAGGCAGACCAAAGTGTGGGCAGAGTCTTGGGTACCAGCTAATGGTGGAGCCAGGGTTCTGGGGGGTCAGCTGCCCTGGGCCAGGTTATCTGAGGGCTGACTACACCTCTGTCTCTTTCTAACCATCGGAATCAAGATCAGTTTGCCTAACCACAACCACTTGGAACGTACTGCACAGTCTTGACAAAGTATGGTGCGGGCTTGGCCTGCTTGGTCAAAGCCATTCAACGTCACAAGACGAGGAACTGATTCCGCGGAACAGTCTTGTGACCAGAAGAGCCTGCCCCTCACCTCTGGGCCCTCCCTGCCTCTCACATTCTACCGTGTGCTCTAAGATCTGTCTTCGTGTTCCTTCTTCCCCGAGGGCCTGTGCATTTGAACCATAGATCTGTGCAGGTCCTAGAACCAAAGGGGCCAGGCTGTGTATTCTGGAATCCTCCATTTCCATCCCCATGAGCTGAGAAAATGCAAAATAACCCCACATTTAGCAAATGACAAGACCATTATTTTTCACAGTTTGAAATTATAATCTAGCATCGCCACTGATCAGACTGCAGAAATGTCAGAGCATTGGGGAGTGTGGCCCACAGAATAGACTCAGGGGCAGTCTTGCCACCCTAACCTCTTGCTGCTTTGTACCTTAGCAAAGGAACGCATGCCGGAGTACTGATTTCTGTTTACTTAGCGACATCTTCGTCATCATAATCATTTGTATTTCATTTTCTTTATTAAAGGCTTCGATTCCTTTTAAGAGTTATTTTTGTTTCCTGAATATTTTTCTGAACTATCTGCTATACCTTCCACAACCAAACTATGTTGAAGTTTTATTTCAATACTATGACAAAAACACGTTTCACACTAAAATATTCACGCATCCACAGTGCACAAGCTTGCAGTTCTAAAGTAGAATGAGAAAAAAAAGCAAAATTTCTATACAAAGGGCTGGCTTTTCCCTTCTCCCCCCTCCCATCCCCCTTAAAAGTTTCTGTATTTTTTTCCCCACTTGGTTTCCAATCCAGGAAAGTTGTGTTATGACTCCAGACAGGTTGTTGTTTTTTTTTTTTTTCTTCTTTTGTTTCTATAAATGCTGCCTAAGTGAACAGAAGGCCGATGTTACTTTACTTCAACAGATTTCCAAAAAAAGACACTAATTCCCTGAAGCACACACATGCTCTTCCGCTCAAATCTAGATTCTGGGCTCAAAAGGAAATGGTATGTATATATTTTATTTGGCTTTCTACAAAAAAGGGGATGTTTGGGGTAAAAACGTGTGATCACCAAGACCAGCCCCAACTATACAATCTTCTCTGCTTCATTCAACAAAGCCTAAGGAGTCCTTCAAAAGGAAGGGTGTCAGCGCCTGGGGAGCAGACCCTTTTTCACACATGCAGGCAGGTGGCGGCTAATCGGAAAGTGGTCTAACCCCCAAAGGAACAAAAAAAGAACCAAAAATCCAAAGCAAAACCATTCTGGAACGAGATGGATTTTTCACCTGAGTCGGACACAGGCAAAAACTGTAGGTCAGAACGGGGGAAGAGCCACTGTAAACAGTCATATTTCGTAACGTTGTCTGTTCTAAAGCAAGCCTGTGATGATCCTACCTACCTTTAGGCGGTATTTGTTACTTAAAAAAAAAAAAAAAAGGCAGCTATTTTACACGGACATTTAAACACAACTGAAGTCAAACATTTGTCAAATTGTAAACACTGGAAAACAAAGTTGGCAGAAAGGATAAAAAAAAAAAAAGAAAGAAAGAAAAAGAAGTCTGAATACTGCAAATTGAGATCTACCCCCAGAAGCTGCAATTTGGCATTCTTCCTACAAAACAAGAGTCTACGTGGGAACTGAATTCAGCTAGAAAGGGTGGCACACTTTGCATACTGAACAAATACAAAGTGAACAGAAATTATAACTTATTTATGAGGTTTTACAGAGTTCAAACTCGACTGAAAGTATAAAAATAAACTGTGGACTTTGTTCATTCGGTTAGTCTTAGTGCCTGAAAGTACTTCTCCGAAACTGGTCTGTGCCAATTGGGTAACACCAAGTGTGGTCTTCCTGAACCTAGATTTTTTTTTTTTTTTTTCTGAGCTTCCTAGATTCTTAATTTGGGGTCCTTTTGTTTGATTTTTAAATGGTTTCAGGGAACGGAGTGTCCTAGTTTGGCTGTGGGTTTAACCTTTTTGTCTCATTTTCTTACAAGTGAGTGCGCAACAAAGGAACCCTTTCTATAAACCTACAAAAAGGAGATCCCATGTTTATCTGTTTCGTTTTTTTTTTTAAAGGCAAAAGACACTAGAGGAATGAGATGTGTGTGTGTGTGTGTGTGTGTGTGTGTGTGTTTGTGTGTGTGTGTCCGTGTGATATTGGAAATGCTCTGGTGAAGCTGTTGTGTCACTTTTTATTTTGATCTTTGCTCGGTTCTCGTCACCCATCATGCTTTGCTCTCGTTCTCCTTTGTTTGTGTGGCGTCGTTGGGGACCGTCTTGACTTCGGCTGGCGCTGGCTTCGTTTCTGTCTCCTGGCACTCCGACTTTGCTTCTACAGGGCCCTTCCTGCGGAGAATCAGGAAAACAGCACCGCTGAGACCACGGTGTGCAGACCTCTCACCGCTGCAGCCAGGCCCTCGCAGGGGCTCCAGTTACAGCGTCGGCCTCCACCCTGGCATGCATGTCAGCAGCGCCTGGGGGCTCTAAAAATCACCCATACCTGGGCCATGTTCCCAGAATCCTGGTTTAATTAGTCTGGACATGGTGACTTCTACAAGCACCTGAGTGATTCTCAGGTGCAGCCAGAGTGGAGAAGCCCTGAATCAGATCGCGTCCTTTCCTATTCCAGCCCTAAATCGACACCAGGGGCTCTGCTGTCAGCTGGGGTCATGGCAGGGGGTAGCAGAGGCAGCCTCTTCCTCACCCTGCCTAGCCACAGTGGCAGCAGCTTGGCTTGATATAAATGAGGCATGTCGGGCTGGGCTCCCAGGATGATTCCGGGGCCTCTTTGCAAGTGACCAGCTCTTGCCTGCCCCCGCCCCACCCTGAGCTCTGTGTTTCGGGGTGCCGCCCCTATGGCTCGCCTGGGTAAGGCGAGTAGACGCTGAGGCAGCTTTCCATGGGAGTCCAGTGAGGGGCTGGAGCGGGCCCACTTGCTACGTGGGAGCTGAGGGCATTCGAGTGGGCAGGGCTATTGGAATCCTTTTACCTCCCGACACTGAGATTCAGGGCTCCTGACAAGAGCCCCTGGTGGCTCAGCGTATCCGAGGGGTACTCCCAAAAGCCTCTATAAAAAGCTAGGTCTGACTCTGCCTCCATTAGTCCCAGGGTAGAGTTGGGTATCAGGAAGCCGCGGGGCAGGCACAGGGCCCAGCCTCAGCTGGTGCCACTGCACTTTGGCACTTGAGACACCTGAAAGGTTAAGGACTTTCCCTCGAACTGGAGACCTCACAGCCATTCTGTGCTCCGCAGCCCCTCGTCTTCCCAGGCACTCTAAGGGGAGGGTGGGCATCTCAGCCAGCGTGTGACGGGGCCTTGGGGCCTGTCTCTTTTCTCCCTGCGCAAGGGTGCCTTTCTGGGGGGGACTCAGCCTGGCACTGATAACCACTGACTGGGGCCCTGGGTGGCTGACAAGGGCACCTTGGCCGCCTTCACTGGCTCCGCAAGCTATCTTCACCAATGGCCCAACTGCAAGGGCTCCCCTGGGGAAAAAAACGCGGCTGCTGGGATGGTAAGGATGAACCATAATTAACATGGCCTAATTAGTGAGCAGGTGGCTGCTCCCAGGGGCCCGGCTGCCTGCCCCACGCTCTCTGCCTTATCCCAGCCCCTTGGTTGACAGTCGCCTCAGAGAAGCCCTGGATGAGGCTGAAGACACATCTAACAAGGAGGACACAGCACAGCACAAACGCACACCACCACGGGACACGACCCGACAACAGCAGACACAGAGAGGCCGTACTCGGTCTTTGCTGGCGCAGGCGAGACAGAGCCGTCTGCAGTGGAAGGAGCAAGCTCAGGGGCTTGTCCACTGGCCCCAGCGGCAGGAGCAGGAGAGCCCAGGGCTGCAAAAACATCCTTTGCAAGGTCAATATCTGGGGTCTTGAAGTTCCCTTCGTCCATTTTAAAGTCCTCGCCCTGGGAAGGGTTTGTGGCGCTGGCGGAGGCAGCCTCGCTCTTCGGGCTAGCAAGGGCTGTGGCTGCCTCGGCAGGGCTCTTCGCAGCGCCAGGCTGGGTGGGCTCCGGGTCCGGGCCTTTGGTGCTGGGAGCCTCCTGCTTGGCCTGGGGGGCTTCTGTGGCAGGGGCAGCAGCTGCTGCTAGAGGACTGGCTGCCCCGGCTGGGGTGGGGGCTGGCACAGGGGCCGGCTTGCTGGCCGGAGGGGCCTTGGAGGGCTCCCCCACACTGGCGGGGGTGCTTGGGCTGAGGACAGCCCCCTGGTTAGCCAGGACACTAGAAGACAAATTGCTAGCCGCAGGGGCTGAGGTCGGGGTGTCGCTCAGGTCAACGAGGGGGGCAACCTTGGGGGCTGAAGCTTGGGGCGGGGAGGAGGCAGAGACGCCGGGCCCCTTGGAAGGGGTGGCCTGGCCAGCGGGCACAGAGTTTGAGTCAGGTGTGGCCGTGGCTGGAGGGGCAATACTGGAGGTCAGGGTGGTGGTCTCACTGGTGGGGCTGTTCTGAGCAGTGGCAAAGGTTTCGGTGATAGTGTCAGAGTTAGTGGTGACGGTGGTGACAGAAGGCAGCATGTCCTCGACAGTGGCTGTGGTGTCGGCAGGCAGCCTGTGGGGAGGACAGGAAGTAGAAGAGAATAGACAATGAAGCTGAGACGTGACAGAGAAGCGGGTGAGGAGAGGGCAGTGGGGGCATGCGGTCAGGCACAGGCATAAACACAGGCCCACAGAGACACGAGGACGCTGAGAGGAAGCACATGCCCAGGTGGGCAGAAGAGGACACAGGAGACGACAGAGAACGTGGCGGTCTCGAAAGGGACCTGCTCGCCCTTCTCCCCTGCTGACTCCCTCCAGCTCTCTGGACAGGGCTCCCTTTCCCTCCAGACCTGTCTGGGGCTTTCTCATCCCTGCTCTGGGCCTCGACTCAAGGAGGGGCGGGCTTCAGTTCAGCGTCCACCTGCTCTGGGCTTCCTAGGTCCCAGAGGAATTGGGCTCAGCTACCCCTCAGCAGTCCCCAGGGCAGAGATGGGGAAAAGCAGGAATAAGGCAGATGGTGAGTGCTGGGAATGGCCCCTAAGAGCTGTGCGTTCTTCCAGCCACAGATTTTGTGGTCCCGTGAAACTCCATTCCCTTCAAACCCATGGGATCCTTGATGGGGAGGCAGGAATTACAACCACAGCTGGTCGGGGTCTGTGGGTCCCCGAGGTTTCTGAGCAGAGGAGGGCCAAGGAACCCCACAGGTCCCCAGCTTCCCTCACCCTTTTAGGAAAACAGACAACTCCAGAATTCTAAGAAATCCTCAAGGGAATTTGCTCAGCCTCCCGCAACGAGGTTTTGCCCTCTTAAGCTATTTCCAGAATACGTGTGCAACTTGGGAACAGGGTGGGATTCCCATTTATGCAAGGAACCCTTTGAGTGCTCACATGGCCACTCCAGAGAGAGCCCAGCCCCTCTCTCTGAGGGGAGTGGGGACAGGCATTTCTCAGCCAGGTGGGTCTTCTGGCCCTGGGCTCCGGAACCCTGGCCTGCACTGTCGGGCCGGGTGCTGTGGGTGGGAGCATGGAAGGTGGGGGTAGGGTGGTGAGGTAGGTGTGGGGGGCTCTACTGAGGAGGTGCCAGCCCCTCCCAGCCCACGTACTCGGGCTCCGTCAGTGGCGTGGTCTCGTTGGGCTCTGTGTGTTTCCCTCCGTCATGGTTTGGGGTCCGCTCCTCCTCAGTCCGAACCTCCACGATGGGCTCCTTGGACTCGTCTTTCCTGTGGGGAGAGTCCTGCTGGTTAGATTCCAGGCGGTGTTGGGGGTGCTCCCCGGGGAAAGCAGCTACAGCTCAGGGTAGCTGGGCCTGGCCCAGGGCTGGCAGCATGGGCATCTAGAGCCATCAGCTTCAATGTTGGAGTCTCAGCACAACACTTGCTAGCTATGTGACCTTGAGCATGTGATTTAGTCACCCCGCCTCAGTTTTCTCATCTATAAAATGGAGGAAATAATAGTATGTGCCTCACCTAGTTATGATGAGAATTAAATGAGAGTGCTTAGCACAATGTCTAGCACAGATAACTGCTCAAATATATACATACACACACAAATCCACACATTGTAAGTATGCGCATGTAGGCATGTGTGCATGTGTAGGCATGCGTGCATGTGTGTTCATACAGTGCCTGGCATGTGGTGGTGCTAAACAACCGATTTCCTCGCTCTGTCCCCTTCTGGCTTGCCCAGCTCAGCCCACCAGTGACAGTCTCAAAGGCTCCCGATAACTGGCTCGGGGGCCATTTCTCCACAGATGTCGCTGGAAGAGACAACAGCTGGATCCTTAGCTCTGTGAGGACAGGGACTTTTATCTTTTTTATTCCCTGTTGTATCAAGTACCTGGGAACAGTGCCTTGTCGACAGTAGCTGCTTGATAAATACTTGTTGAGTGGTGTATGATTGAATGAATGAATGAACGAAAGCAAGGCCAGTGTGTCCCTCGGATGCTGGCCCCTCCCTTGCAGCTCCTCTCCAGGCTTAGCTCTGACAACTCCCCTCATTTAGACCAACGCAGGGATCTCCACACTTAGTGAGATGCTAAGACATTAGATCTGGAGTTGGGCCCAAGAGTCTAGTTTTCAAACAGGTACCCCCCGCCCCAAAGACCATGCTTTGAGAAACTTTTCTCCAATGCTCTTTTCCCCTCAGGGCTCCAAATGGGGAAAGTGAAGCTGAAGGAAGTGTCACTACAGGCACCCGCTGATGGCTCAGAGTGGCGCGGTTGCTGGGCCCCTGGGCCGGGGACAGAGCCCAGACCTCGGCGGGGTGGGCGCATCTGCACTCACGAGAAGGCGGCTTTGCCCTCCTCCATGTCCTTGCCCTTGGCTCCGGGCCCGGCTTTTCCGCACAGGTTGACGGCAATGCACATCAGCAGGCCACACTTGTTCAGGAAGTAGCAGGTGATGTCCACGACCACCAGGAGCAGGACAAAGATGACGATGAGGATGCCCACAATGGCCCCGGTGCTCAGGCCTGAGGTGGGGCTGCCATTGGCTTGAGGGGGAGAGAGACAGCCGGTGGTTAACAGACTGAGATAAGAGACCCCCAGACCCTGTGAGTGGCAGCCCCCGGGGGTGGGTAGGGCCCAGAGGACAGAGTCATGGCATTCTTGTCCAGAGTGTCCAGTGGTCACTCGGTGTTGAGGCAACGGGGTCTGTCTATATCTTCCATAGATATCCTCCTCTCATAGGCTGGGAGACCAGGTCCTGCAGCCCCAGGCTCACTCTCAGCTGGCCTCCCCATGAGTCCTGGGAGCAGGTCAGACTCTGCCTGTCAGTGTCTGAGGACTCTGCATAATGAGACAATCAAAGGGCACTGCTGTGTTTTCCTGGGGCCAGGGCACAAGGCTTTGCAGGGTGGGCAGGCGGTGGTCACTGGTTTCAGACGGAGCGGTGGCTCCTGTAGCACTCACAGATGGGGTCTCGAGTGGGGTGGCCAAGGGTTCCCAGGGCTTTCTAGGGGATTGTGGGGACATCAGGCACAGCAGGATGCCCAATTCACTACTCCACTTACTCTCCCCCTCTTAGGAATAACCCCAAAGGGGCACGACATTGGACCACCTTGGGCTCATGGTTCACCCTCTTTTGCGACACCCCAGGGAGACGAATGAAGCCCACATGGCTCTGGAGACATGGAGGCCTCCTTAGGCCCAGTGGACAAGGTGAGAGGTCTGGGAATACTCACCATTTGGGAGCCCAGGAATGCTTGGATCAGACTTCAGGAAAACCAGCAGACTCACTCAGAGATGCACACCCGCACAGACAGGCACGCTCACAGGTAGGACAAGTGCCCACAGACAGACATACGCTCTTACATTCCAGCGTCACCCAGCACCTTGGTTCTGGCTGGGTTCACTCTGCAAGACTCAGCCCATGTCTTACTTCCCTGGTTGCCATCCGAAATCCCCCAGGGACATGGGCTACTGATGGTATCACAGAAGGAACCTGGCTCAGTTCCCCGGGGCCCCAGGACCTCATCGCACGCTCACGATCCACGTTAGTTGCTGGGGATCAACCTGTCGACCCCTCAGTGGTTCCCCCCAGTGTGGGAGACAAGTGGTCATGCTGCAGGAAGCAAGAACCCATGTGGAGCTCTGCCCGTAAGTCAGTGTGGAAACAATGACTCCAGACTGAAATAGGGGCACTTCCAATTCATCTTTCTTCTGGAAGGACCTGGTTCCAGAACTGGCGGCCCTGCCCCACCACCAGACCCTGTCTGCAGCTTGCTGTGCTCTCAGGGCCCACCAAGGTCACCCAGGTCTGTGGCCAGCCCTGGCTGACTCCCTACTCAGCTCACTAGGCTTTGCTGAGTGCGTGGCCAGGCCCAGTGGCCTGCCAGCTGCTGCCATGCCAGATAAGGGAGGAAATATGCAACCCAGGATAACTGGCACCACAGATGGTCACACATTCTTTGGTTTTCATGCAGCCTATGTTCGGGGGTGGTGGTGGGGGACTCCTCTGTTTGCCTGAGGGGTCCATGCCCAGGCACTGTTGTGCTTCTCTAAGGGCAGTCCCATTCCACTGGCCCTTATCTCAAACTTCAGTTCAGAGTATGGGCCACCAGCCCAGCATGCCCGAGAGGACCACTCACAACCTATTCCTTAGCACCCTGGGCACAGCTGGACCTGGGCCGGAGAAGACACCCCAGCTCGTGCATATTTTGGGGCCCCCTGGGCCCTCGGCCTGCTTCCCAGCCTTTCCTCTGCACGTTGTCCAGTGGGTCCCTTCCAATCCTGCACTGAGGGTCCCAGCCCTTTCCCCCAGGAAGGCCTGAAACTGGCAAACGGCTCTGTGCTCGGATGGCCCGGCTCTGGCCACCTCCTGTCTGGGCTTTGGCAGCAGGGAACTGGCCACCGGCCCCAACTATCAGCTAGAATGGGTCGTTTTCTTAGCTGCCCTAACACAGAGGCAGTTCTGGTTGGTTGCATGAGAACAAAGCCATCCTTCCACTTCCCCCCGTGGTCCTCTCCTCACACCTTCCACCCGAGAAGGAAAGAAAGAGACGCAGCCATTCTGATCTTCAGGGTCTCAAAGCTGTTTCCCTGAATAGGGAAGAGACTTTGGCCTTCGTTTTTCTCTCCATCCTGTGACACGGGGCTTGAGGCCACTGCAACCTCCTGACACCAGCACCTGATAGGTGTGAGGTGTCTACTTCCTGAAGGAGCCAAAAGCATCTTTTTTGGTGGTGGTGGGGATATACCTGGTATTTTTGGACTCCATGGCCCTAATTTTACATTCTGAGGTTTATGTGTAAATATGGTTTTGTGGAACCAATTATACATCTAAAGAGGAAAAATAATGACTGCAAAGCTGTTTTGTGTGCAGGAGGGGACAGAGGCTGGGACAACTCCTGCCCTGGGCTCGGTGGACCCAGCAGAGGGCTGCACAGGTTCTGAGCGCTCTGGGGGAGGGCCAGGAGGGCAAAGAGGCTCTGAGCTGCCTCCAAAGCAGGAATCAGGGCAGGGACTCCCCTTTCATTTGATATAGAACTCAGTCTTTCTCCTGGCCTAAGAGACCTTACATGTGCTGTGATTGCTGCCCACCCCTCTGACCATGGCGACTCGTGACATGGACCAGTGGCCTTCCTTCTGCCCGCTGAACACACCCGGCCATTCCGCCCCGGGGCCTCGAGCTGAGTCTTTGCCAGGAACACTCCGTCCCGATGGCTTCCTGGGCGGCCCTTTGTCGTCCTGCAGGCCTCAGTCCCAATGTCACCTTCTCAGAGCAGCCTCCCCGATCTCTCATCTAGTGAGGCCGCTCCACTCCCCCAATGTCTACCATGTTACCCTGTTTCATTCTCTTCTTACCACTATCTGCCCTTTTACGTTCATTTACATGCTTATAATCTGGCTGTCCCCTCTAGGACATCCTGGCAGGTACCCTGTCTCTCTTAACGTCTCTCCAGCATGTAGGACAACTCTGACTCATAGAAAAATGTCCGAAGAATATTTGTCGCACAGATGGATGAGTGTCTAGCCTGGAGATGAGAACACTGTTTCCAAATATTTAAAGGTGTGTCATGAGAAGGAAGCAGGAGTCTTTAGTCTGGCTCCAACGTGTGGGAATTATGGAGGTGGGGGCAGATTTTAGTGCCAGAGGAGAAAGGACTAACAAACAGAGCTATTCGCACATAGTGTGGCTGCCCCTGTTGTTGGTGGCATTCATGCAGAGGCTGGACAACCCCATGGTAGGGATGTTGAAATGCTCTGGATGAGGCTCCTACACTAGGCAGGGGCTTGGGTAGATGATGTCTTCAAGTCCTCTTCAACCACAAGAGCCTGACCTTCCAAGTCAGACGTTCCACAGTACCCGGCACAGGGTACTGATTCCCTCATGCCAGTATTCTCCACAGGGTGGACTCAGAAGGACATTTTCTTGGAAGACAAAGTGCTTGGTAGGTCCCATTTTTAATCACTGATCCTTGTAATTTTATTTTCACATGAAAAATAAATTTCTTTTAACTTAATGCATCTCTACCTGCAGTGGAATTCCTGGGGTGTTTTGTTAAAAATTGAGAACTGGGGGCTCCCCGATTCTATGGAATTTGAATGGCTGGGGCTGAGGCTCAGGAGTCAGGATTTGAACAAGCACCCCAGGTGATTTGTATGAGGACCTGTTCCCAGGTCTTCCTGCCCCTGCATTACAAGGAGCAGCAGCTGATCCTATGACCCAACACCCAAGGGTAAGGTGTGCCATCTTGCCCAGCAACCTTGACAAAACGAACTTGACCTAATGTACTGGATGGAAGGAGAGAAAGCAAAGACTATTCCCTCAAGAAAAAGGGGCCACACTGTCCTCCACTGCTAAGAGATAGACTCCCAGAGCAAGTGAGGTGCTCAAGCTGGAGGGAGAGTGCTTGTTGCTTTTACAAAAAGAGGCTGGAAGGAAGGGACAGGCCCAGGATAGACAAAAGGGCTTTCAAGGCAAGCCAATGTCCATTCCCTCTTGGTGGATGCTACAAAATTGTTCAGTCCAGGAAAGCTAGAAGGACAAAGGCTATCTCCTGCATCTTATGTAACGTTTTACCCAAGGAAAAATAAAAAAAACCTCTGGGGGCCCTTTCTCTGCCATGATCTTCCCCTGACCATCCTTAACTAACTCACCCATGCACCTTGCATGCAAAGAAGTCTTCTTGGGAGCAACTCCTCCACGACCTCCGAGGTCAGAGCTTCCCTGAACAGTGAGATTACGAAGCTGGGGCTGTCCATCTTCTGTGGTTCCTGGCTTGGGATGGCCCTAAATAGGGAAGTGGCTTGCTCCAAGACTGAGGTCCACGTATACCTACTTTCTTATGCCTTAAAATGGGAACATGGGTCTGACATTTGACAGGTGCCTGGATGGGCCCGAGTCCTTGTGCCGTAAGACCTGGGTGCAGCAGATGTGCTCTCCCCACCCCCACTCCCCCATATGACTGTCAGACTCTCCGAACTGTCGATTCACTCACAAACCCCTTACACGTCTGCTTGCTCCTCCCTGAATCAACTAAACAGACGGCTGGTCTCAGGGGCTTGCAGGAAGTGTCTGACTAAGTGTGACGATAAACAGAATACGGTTTGCCAAAGAGAATCTTCTCCCAGAGTCTCTCCATTACAACTCACTCTGTGCGGCCTCTGTCAGGGAGAGGAAAGGTTGCTGTGTAATCGAGTGACCGTGCCACAGGGCTGTGCATCTGGTGGCTCAGAGTGTGGCCCCACCCCCAAAGCGACCACCTCCCCAGTTCTGCAAAGGCACTTTCCCCTCCCACAGTCTGCTGGTCACTCCCCGGCAGGATAACCCATGACAGCTCTTAGGATAGCCGAGGAAAACACATTGCTCCTCATTAGGAAGAAAACGTATTTCCTTTGGCTAGAACTCTATCTGTCAGGCTGCAAATGTGAGGTGCAACTGAAATGTCTCTCTAGGTAATAAGTCATCCAGGTACATGCGAGGTGGAAGGAAAGGGCTTTTGATACTTTGTTGGACACAACTATCAAATAAAATCAAACACGCTAGTGAGTTCACATGAACTGTTATTTCCTTTAATAATGCAAAGGTGTAAACTTCATAAAGGCCTCGCTGATTACCTACGCAACAATGTTAGCGTCCTTATTAGTAGAAAAACGTGATCCAAACCTGCTGTATAAATATTCCAAAACTGAGCAGAGGAGCCCCGTGGCGTGTGGAGCGTGGCAGCACTAATACAGGGCGCAGAGGCAGGGGTGGCCGGGCAAGGTGGGGTGCACTCACTCCTGCAGGGGTCTCTGAGGGCTGCTGTCTTCAGGACTCCTATGTGGCTGGGGCCTACGGCCTTCACTGGGAACTCAGGGGCTGGTGGCAGAGGGTGGGCACTAATGCTGGCTCTAGAAGGGCAAACCGTTACAAGCCGCGGGTCTAGTGGGCCCACTGCAGTGGCCCCAAAGTTGTTTCAGCCGAGCCCTGCTTGGCCCTGGGATGTGCTGAGGGGACAGGGCCATATTATTTCTCTTTACACGCAGGACCAGATCTCCAAAGGGTCCCTCTGGAAACGCTTGACATTGACCCTCTCCTGTAGGTGGGCCTGGGACCAAGGGGAGGCAGGCCCCTGAGCTGAGCCCTCCTAAGATGAATCCATGTGGCTTTTGCCCAAGGCGATTACAAGAGCCAGGAGGACGGTGGAGGAGCCTCTCCTGGCCCTCCCTATAGCTATCCCCGACTGACCTGGCATCCTTACGCCAGCCTGGGAGGCACCCCGTTCCCCCCTCCCTGCTGCTCTGCCCTGTGCCTAAGAACCATGCCCATGCCACTGCCCTGGTGTGAAGCGAGATCAGGGACTTGTGGGGAAAGGTTTGCGGCTGGGGTGAGAGGCACTGCCCTGCCTGAGCTACTGAGCAGGGTGCGGCCTCTGGTGTCTGCATGTGGGCCTCTAACTGAGCGCTGGGGACACTGGCAGGCGCCAACACAGCGGCTTTGCCCCTCAGACCACGGCATGGGGTCATGTGGATTCCCAAAGGGGAACATTAAATCTTTGAACATTAAAAAATAACAATGGAAAAAATATACAAAGAAACCAAAAAGAACAAAAATCAAACTTCTGTGGAGATGCTCAAAGATGAAATATGTAGCATGATATGTGACAACAATGGAGGGAGGAGTTTTTATTCAGTGGAAGGTCCATCCCCAAGCACACACGCCAATATCACCAAGCAGGGTTCGGCCCTGGGTCTCCACACGGGACCTTACTGAAACACACCCACTTCCTCTCCTGGGTGATCTCCCTAGCAGCAGAGAGGAGAAGCTGGCTTTTCATGAGCGTTTTTAAACTGTCACTGAACTAAGTGACCAACAGGAGGGCCGAGCATTTAGGAAGTACCGATAGGTTGACTTAGTCCCAATTTACTGACTCTCCTGGACTGCACAGCCTGGGACTGGCCTGTCCCTCCCCTTCCGCTCTGCCGAGCACGCCCAGGGAAGGTTGGGGACTCGTGCCTGGTTCACAGTGGGAGCTTCCAACCTGCCCGCCGGACTGATGCTCACGGCAATTACATGGGTCACTGTTGGATCACACCCCCCAGGACACGGAGGCTCCGTGCTGATCTGTGACATGCCACCCTGCAGCAGGGAATAGCCCCAGCTGGGAGACAAAGCTGGCACGAGTTGGCACATCACGGCTTAGCCCTGTTCACAGAGACGGCATAAGATGCTAGTCACAATACCAGGACTGAAGCGTCTCCTAGAATGTTCACCAGTTCCAGAAAATGTTCAGCTAGTTAACTTTTTTCCATTGCGTGGGCAACAGGGTCACTTAATTTGCCCATGATGTCAGCAAAACACTCAGGTGAATCACTGTGGTCTGGCTCTCTTAACATGGGCACTTAAATACTTAAATGCAAGCAAAGCCATCTAGTTATTGAGGAGTGAAGGAGGAGCACGGAGTTAGAATGAGGGGGGCACATGGTGATTTTAATAATCTGATGCACAGTTGAGAAGGTACTTAGAATTCTTCCTCTGTTACGTCACTTTTTGGTATGAACCAAAAATGCAACAAGTAGCAGATATGCAGAAACCTCTCTGTAAACCGAGCATAATGCTTTTTTAAAATAGCATTTAAAGAAAGAGCTCTCAAATTCTTTTTACTGCCATGAAAAAAGGGGGCAAATGCCTTATGAAGTGGCACAAAAGTATCTGCGAGTGGTCAAACGTCTGGAGATAAAGCTTTTTCCAATTGCAAAACCTTCCTCCGTCACACACAACGCTCGCTCGGTGGCTGTGGCCATGGTGGTCGTGACAGGTTCTTCCAAAGGGGGGCACTGATAATTTTCATAGGAACTTGGCTTTTAAGGAAATTTAATTTTTGTATTCAAGTTCCTAGCAGAGCAAGAGAAGAGTCACTGCAGGGAAAAGCAATGAGACAAAGGTGTAGGACGCAGAATTGCCTCCCAAGGTTGCTGCAGGTGTCAAGCAAGGTGTCCCCAGAGAGAATGTGGTTGTTTAAAAACAAATGTGGCAGTGGGGATGTCCCAGTGATGTCCAAGGTGACAAGTGTGACGACAGACACAGGAAGGGGAGGGGGGGAGAAGGAAAGAGAAGGTAGAGACAGAAACAGAGAAAAAAATAGATAAAAAGAAAAAAATTAGGTCACCTATAGAAAATGCAGAATCAAAGGTTAATTCAACTTAGTAAATTAAATTGACAGAGGTTAGGGGAGATCTCAGTGCGATTTCAATACCATAAGGCCAGTTCAGAAGCTCAGCAATGCCAGAAGCAGCACAGCAGGGTTAATTTTGGGGTTAGGGGTCAGCGAGCAAATGAAATTAAAGTGAGAGAACAGAAGCCTCCACAGTAAAGTACCAGAGTTGGATTAGGAGAGTGTTACCTTTTACTAAGGTGAAGCCTCTTGGGCACAGTCGCTAGTGTCTCCCAGTGCCTGGCGTTGCCACCCACAGTGGCAGAGATGCACCGGATCGCTGCACTGTGAGTCAGCAAACCGTGTACAGGGATCGGGGACGGCCCTGTCCGAGTTGAAACAGACTTTTCTTCCCATTGCCCAAGTCTCCCACCATAGTGCTGTTAAAGGGAGTCCAGTTCTGCACCCCTCCTCACCTTCTGCCACCCAGCTGACCACAGAATTCCACCACAAATGTGCATCTTGCAACGCACAGAGGTTTTATTCTCGGACCCCAATTCAGTGGCCAGGAGAGTCCAACCAAGCACAGAGCCACCACCTTCTCAGACCTGTAGCAGGAGAGCCACAGAGCTATTTTGGTTGAGATGGGCCACCCTCCAACCCTCTCTGGCTTAACTGGGCTCCTCGGCAATTCATAAGAAAGACTCTGACGTCTCTAGCAGGTGCCACTCTGGAGGACCAGGTCTACCCAGAAACACAAAGCCCAGAAGCTGATGCTGCTGGCAGTACCCAGCATGTGAACACAGCACGTCCAAACCACCTACCTATTGAGTCTCATCCCAGGGTCCAAGTGGCTGAAGGAGTCTGTCTTGCTGCAAAGGGCTTACTCAAGCCTCACATTCCCCCATCTCCTAAGTGTCCCATAAAGGCTGGGCAGATCTCAATACACCAGACTGTAGATTTCAAGGAAAGACTGACCAAAGAACACAAAGAAAAAAGGGGCAGAGGAACAGCAGGGCCACCTCTATTTGGACATCCTACTAAGCAGGCATGAGGACGTTTCCTGCAGCCATACCCAGGTGCCTTGTCTTCAGTACCAACCCTTCGACCAGTGCCTGTGCAGACACGCCCACCCCGGTGCGTGCTGGGGAGCCTTCCTGACAATGCAGTGGGGACCAGTTGGTACTTCTGATCTATAGCTTAAAACTCACCTGCCAACTTGCTGGAGGCCCCACACACAGCTACCAGGCACACACATTCAAGCACAGACAACCATCGGGGCCCACACACTCGTTTCGTTTTATTGCTGTTTGACTAGCCCACTTTGGCACATCCACCCCTGTGTCATAGGCAGCCCAGACCCTTCTGGCCTGTTTCCCCCTGGGAGGAGCAATCATGACAACTGCACCAAGAGCTGGGCAAGTATGGCAGGGGGCTGACTGAGGCCATCTTCCTACCACACTTGAACATGGCAACAGCGTATGAGGCCCCCTCCCCCCCCCCAGGGCTGCAGCTGTACGTACTACGCCCACCTTAGCCTGTGGTTGGCCTTTGGCTAGTCTGGAAAAGCAGAGTGATATTGAAGAGCTCATTCTTCTCTGGGGATTTGGCCAAAGAGGAGACTGGCCGTCAGCGGCAAAGTAAGAAAGCAGAACTCTCACTTTATTCCCACACTTGAGTCGGTCCTGGATCCCTAGAGACAGATCTGCATCTCCTAGAACTGCTGCCATCATGGTCTCTAGCAGACCGGATTGCTTTCATCGATGGTGCTTTTCAGCAACTAATGTCTCCACTTGTTCTATTTCAAGTGGTTCAATTTAATCTTTGTTTCAATTGAGGGGCTTTTGACAGATGGGGTTTGTAACTAACTGGGCACCATCTCTTCTTTCTCTTGGGGTTGCCAAAGAGAAGAGATCTGGACCACGGTTGTGCAGATGAAGCGAGCATTAGATAGAAAGCACTTAAAAATGGTTATTTGGTCCACGTATGAAGTGGTAGATGGCAGATAAGGTCTCAAAAAAGGATCTGTACTCAACTAGCTTCTAAGGCTGGGCTGGAGCTGGGGCATTTCCCATCTGAAGGGTCCAATGGACTGGTTAGCATCAGTCCTTCAAGGCCAAATGAGACAGGACCTTTTCCCCAGGATGCTTGGCCAAGCCTTCCTGGGGGTCCAGTACATCTCAACCCATTGCACAGATAGGTACAAAGCAAAACTAAGCTTTGCATGGGCAACCAATCATGAGGATGGCTGGAAGCAAGCAAGTTGTCAGGGTTGTTCAGGCACATTAGGAGGTGCAGCACTTGTGCATTAATTTGAAGCGGAAAACTAACAGAAAGCAGAGGCGGCCATACCTGGGATGGCTGTGGGCTGGGCCGAGGTCCTGAACACAAAATGAGCCGCCTTGGATTTTCCTTGCTGGTTCTCAGCCACCACGTAGACCTCATACTCAGCATTCCAGTCCAGGGACTTGAGCATGACATGGTCACTGCCAGACGGGAGCCTGATCTCTGGTTTCCACTCGGAGGAGAGCTGGGAGAAACCGGCAAGAAGGACAGAAGACACCAGAAAGATTTAGATAAAAACACTGGAAGACCAGCTAATAGGCAGAACTTAGGGGAGTCAATAACTGTTGGTGCAAAACCACAAAAATCAGAAGCAATGATAGGACAAAATGGTCTTTATTCTTTACACAGGTCGGGAGGTAACCTTGCATGTTTGCAAATACAAACAGCAGCAGATGCCAGCGTGGCGTTGGGCCAGGCCCTTCAACATCCCACCACCTTCAGGGCATGCAGGGACTCAAGCACCACCTGTGTCCCCCAGGCTGCACTCTGGAACACTGGGCACATGTGCGTAAGGATATCCTGGAAGAGTAACAAAACAAATGTGCTTCTTGTCATATTTCAGAATGCTGCTCACATTCGGGTGTGTGATTCACCTCCCTGACACGTGAACACTGCACAGATTCCAGTTCCATTAAAAATAAAAACTATTGTTTGTTGAGCACCTACTATATCCCAGGCACTGCACTAAAGGCTTCCCATATATTTTCTCATTGTAACCCTACAAGCACCCTGGGGTGGGGGGGTTTGCCAGGCTCTTATTAAACCTGATGAAGAGAAGTGAGAGAGAAGTTAGGTGACTAGTCACACCTGAGAGTGTCTGGACTCAAAGCTGTGAACTTTCTCTTGTTTTCCCTTCTAAATTGCATTCTTGAAAATAATATTTTAAAATATTGATATGAAATAGATGTACATATTTTCAGGGTACATGCGATAATCGAATACATTCATATAATTTGTAAAGATCAAATCAGTGTAACTGGGATATCCATCACCTTAGATATTTGTCTTTTCTTTATGCCAGAAACATTCGAATCATATTTCGAAATATACAATAGATTATTGTAAATTATAGTTACCCTATTGATCTATCAAACACTTAGGTCTTACTTCTTCTATCACACCGTGTATTTATTCCTGTTAATAAACCTCTCTTCATGCCCCCAACTTCCTGTGATCTTTCCTGTTCACGGTAGGGAGCTCAACAAACATCCATTGAACTGAGATTTTTCTATTCCATGCAGCGTGGCCTGGTCTCTACAACTGCAGCTGAAGAGAAGGAGGCATCGCAGGTGCGAGTTCTGCCGTCACGTCCCACAGGGGGCTGCTCAGAGGCCCAGCAGAAAGGCTACTCTCAGCTCAGCAGGGCACTCCCCAGGGCACAGTCACGGGCAGGACTGATGGGCGTCCGCTTTTTCTCATCGATTATTCTTTCTGGTTATAACCTACACCTTCACCAATGAGTCTGTACCGGGTGGGAGTTTATAAAGCCATTGTTAGGTGACCACCTGCCTAGCAGAACAGCTGTGGAAGAAGTTTCCCAGACGTTTTGAGCAGTTCGAAGATGGTCTCACAATTGCAGAGCCCACCTCTTCACGATCTTTGGCCTTTTCACACGGCATATGCCCCGAGTTATAAGCCGGCCACATGGGACACCTTGGCAAATGCTTACTGTATGCCAGGCTGCTCCATGGTAGCCGTGTCGCCTGGGAGGGGGTCTAGCAGCTGTGGTAGGCCCATGGCTGAGGCTGGATGCAGAGCTAGCTGCCTTGTAGCGAAGCAGACTTCCCAGGCAAAAGAGTGTGCACCACCCAAAGAGATGCCTTTAGGAACATGGCAGTGTTGATGCCACCGCCAGTGACTGTTACTGTGAAATGCTAGAAGGCGAATACTGGTTTCCTTAGAGTCTAAACAGGAGGCCTGGGCTATGCTGTAAGTTAGCATGTGTGTGTCACTATGTGGCCCCATTTTACTGTACAACAAAGCAATTGAGCTGTCTGTGTTTTCTCCTGTTTCTCTGTCTTCCTTGGCAAACATCATCATAAAAGAGACAACCAGAATAAAAAGCAAATATTTAATGAAGCAAATATTATGTTATATATTATATATCAATAATATATAATAATACTATTTAGCAAAAATTAAGTTTTTGATGTGAGAGAAGATGGTTGTTGAAATTTGACAGATCTCAGGGTTGCGCCCCAGCTGTGTCTTTCCGATGCAGAGCTGCCTGCCACAGCCACAGCGGCTCCTCAGACAAACTGACGTCTGAGGTGGCCTCGCACCGGGGATAGCTCCAGCCACGCCTGCGTCTTAGCAGTCACTACAGATACTATTTACAGAAGTTTCCAAGTGTCAGGCACATTTCTGGTTCTTTGCATATATTATAACCAATCTTTCCAACAACTCGGTGAGCTATTTTATCTCCATTTTACAGATGAAGAAATTGAGGTTCTGGAAGATTGGGTGACCTATTCAGGTCACATGCTGGAAAGTGGTAAAGTTGGAATTGGATGCCATGTCTGTCTGGCTCTAAAACCCATGTTCTATCCACTTGGGCCACATCGGCATAGCAGTGTCCCAAGGCACCCCACCCTGCCACACCATCCACGTCCAGTGGGGGGTGCAGGGCCACCTGGGTAATCCTTGGATCCTACTCCGCAGTGAGGAAGCCACAGAGACCTCTCATTCAGGGGTGCCTCTGGGCTAGGCCTTAGGGAAGTCAGCTTAGCCCTTTCCTGCTATGTCCGCTCATACCTGCTTAGACATTAAGTGGGAAAGAGGGCTGAGAGTATTGACAGGCCTGGCCACCCATGTGGAAAGACGCCTGCAGGGCTCTGAGCTGGACTGACTCTTCAGCCCAACTAGCTAAAGACCCACACGTCACTTCCATGGGAGCTGATCACCAGGCAGACAATGAGTAAATCAACTTCCTGGAGAAAGCCTTTGGGGGCTACTTGAAAAAGAAAAGTGCTCTCTGGTTCATTCTTTTCTCCCACTAAGAGGCTGTTCCCAGTGCTCAGATACTGCCTTTAAATCTCTCAGCAACTGGCTGTGGCTGGCAATGGCCAAGTATCGTTTTAACACCAATAAAGGAGAATGCGATTCTCAGTTTGGGGTTGGGGATAAAAGGTGGATTCATGGGAGTCTTGGGTGGTGGGCAAACCAGGAGGAAAAGGCTTACAGCCAGTTTGTTAGCAGGATTGGAACAGCTCAGGTGGCCCGGCAAAGAGCAGGTGAGGGAGGTGGCACTGTTTCAGGACCTTAGGCAGCTTTGGGCAGCAGCAAGAGCCCTGTCTCTCATTCAGACAGACCTGGATTCAAACTCTGGCCCACCCAGTGGTGAGAGGTCGGGTGGTTACTGATGGCCACATGTCCCAGTTACTTCATCAGTAAAGTGGGGACGGTCCCGAGCCCTACTTCACAGGGTCCTTATGCGGAGACTTTATCAAAGGTAGTGATATTTAGACATCAGTACAGCATTTGCACGAAGTACTCAATAATGGCAATTTAACTTTGTAGAAAAGTTCGAGAAACAGAAAAATCCATTGTAGTGTGAGTTTGTCACCACCACCATGGTCTCAGAAATTTTGAAATGGTCCCAGTGTGGACATGGCCTAACAGCTGCTCAACAGGGCAGTCTTGGGATTTAAAACCCTGACCAGGGTCCATGAACCACCTGCAAGATGCAGAGGGAGACCCCGTCCCACTCCTGCCCCACCTGGGCTTTGCACGTTGCTGCCCTAACAGGATGAGTGTCAGGGTCACAGGGACGGGGTGAAGCCTGGGAAGGAGGCCACTCACCGCTCGGTACTTGATCAGGTAGTGCCGGATGGGGGAGCCGCCGTCATCCTGCTTGATCAGTTTCACCTTAATAGAGTTTCCGTCCTCGCCCATCTGCCCTTCGAGCTTAGGTGCGCTGGGTTCCCCTGAAACAGCCAGTGAATTCACATGAACTTCTCATCCACAGCGTGAAAACCCAGTCCATCAGAACGGGATGTATGATGGGGCGGGGCTGGACACTTTTCTTGCTTTCTCAGAAATTCAAATGGTTAAAAAGCAGTACATAGAAAACTTTGAGTTCCAGGTATATGCCTCAGACTTAGGCCAAACTGAGAGTGACTTTGGGGAATGTTCTGGGAAACAGTCTTCCTCTTAGCAGGTTCCTCTCACCATTTTAGGAACGGGCTTTTTTCTGTCTCTCTCACTGGTACTTGCATTCCTACTGACTGCTCTTACAACTGTAGGTTTAATTGTTATGAACCTGACGCAGCTTGAGGAACAGCCTGAAATATGGGAAAATGTAAGTGTTTGAGTGGAAGACTCACAGCCATAAAACTGTTTTGCAAAACAGCCCAAGTTCTTCCCTGATACATCACTCACCCAGCTGGGGTCTGATCCCCTCATGGGAGCGAATAAGGCTGCGTTCCTGTGACTAGCTGTTCATGAATTAAATGTTATTACTTAGACACATTTAAAAAAAATAACAAGTTTCCAGTTGTGATTAAATAAAGCCCAAGTTGCCACAGGCAAGTTTCCTGAAAGTATCCCGCATTTATGGCTCAGCTGAGTGAGTGATAATCCTTGGCACTTTAACGTGTTAAAGTAACAATCCTTAAAGTCTTTTTCTTTGTGAGAGGAGAGAGAAAAATGTCTTTAGCGATTCTCAGAAAGGCAGTCATTGTTTCTTTTTATCTTCAGTGTACGCTCAGCCTGTAGCTCTGTGAATACGAGGTTGCGAAGGAAGATGAGCTTGTATCTGACAAACTACCAGGGCTGGAAGGTTCTTCAGTAAGATGCCGATTTACTTTAAGAGAAACTGTTTCATTAACATGTGCTGAAAGCAGCGAGGGGAGAGCACGTCTGACATAAAAAGTCAAAATTAAAATGTAACACACTTGGGACTCTTGCACTTCCTGGGAAGCGCTCTCTTGGCATCTATTTCAGAGGCTACAAAACAGTTACCTTCTGGGTGGGTCACCCTGGCTTGCTCTCTGAAAAATAGAGTCACAGACATGTGACAGAAGAGCCAGAAGAAGGTTTGTCACCAGGCTTTGGACCTAATCACTCCAAGTTGCACCCTTGGCCATTGCCATTCATGGGAAGGCTGCTGGCATAGCCAGTGTCTAGTTTAGCTTCCTCGTTCAGCTGCTTTGGGAACCTCCTCCCTGTGTCACAGGAGGGACCAGGGACAGAAAGCTAAGGTAGAGCCCCACTACTTACAATGGAAGGGGCTGCAGCATTCACGTCACCTGGGAGCTTGTTATTAACAGAAATGTAACAAGACCCCTTGGTGATGTGTGTGCACGTTTACGTTTGACAAGTAGCAGTAACAGGGACACATAAAAGCTGCCACAGGGAGGATACATAATCTTGATGTCTGAGGGATATTTACGAAAAATTGTGCTTATTATTTGTTTTCTTTAATCAGTAATTAAAGAAAAATAAAAACAGCAATAAAAAGATAAGTGGGCTTCAGGCAAAGACTTGTCCTGTTTTAAAGCCACTATCGAGCCACTGGGCCCACTATCAGTGGAAAATATTTTGAAATTTGGTTTAGACATGTCAAGGTATGTAGGCTTTTCAACTTCCTTTGACTGTCCCAAGTCTTGGACAATATGTCAATTATGTCTACACCATTATAAATATCCAGTACTAAAAAGCAACTCAAAGTGGGGTGTATTTTAGAGTAGGGCAGGAGCTCTTTGCAGACTCAGCAATGCTGAGCAGATGGAAGGAGGAGACTCTTTACAAATTCTGTTCTCCGTCTGAATTAGGGTGACTGACTCATCCTGGTTAGCTTGAACACTCCAGGATTTAGCACTGCAAGTTGGGAAACTCCCTCAGTCCTAGGTAAACGGGAACGGTTGGTGACCCTAGACTGACTAGAGAGGGACATTAATCATTCTAACTTTCTGGGAATCAAGACACTGACTCTGTTGAATGACCTACTTGCCCTTGGGAGGAAGGGATTTTCATCCGGGTGCACCAGTGGCCTGTCCAACATACCCATCAGGTGAGGGCCACGTGGTTTCCCAAGGCCTCCATGGGAGGCAGACAGAGATCAGTGCATGGGGCTGCACCTTTCCTACTATTTCCTCTCAGAATTGAGCAGTGTGGGTTTCCAAGGCTGAATCAATACCGCAGAACACTATCTCGAACTCTGCATCGTGGGGGTCTGTTGCCTTAAGCAAGTCACTGCCTCAGTCTCCACATTTGCAAAATACAAGTGTTGGATCAAATGCTCTCTAGGACCCCTTCCAGCTCTGGCGTCATGGGACACAGTGACAGCACTGCACTAGCATGGACCACCAACTACACCTGGGCTAGTTCTTGTGGCACTGTGGAAAACAGTACAAAAAATACACGATCTCCAATTCATTTTAGGGAGATGCACCCCAAGGTCAATAGTTCCACATCTCTAAGGCACAAAGGTTTCAACTTTTTGCTCTACAATGTTGAAATCAAGTTATTTCAAAAAGTCGTTTTTGAAAAGAACCCCCCACACCAAGTCTCTTCAAAGACATATGAACAAAAGTGTCTCCAAGGAATCCCCAAGTAAACCAATAGTCCTGAAGAAGGCACTCTCTTATCTTTGCATTTGTTTTGGAAAAAATATAATCAGAATCACAGAAAAACCACTAAAAACTGTACCACAGTTAGAACACAGTTCTCACATTTATTAATACCATAGTTAGAACACTATAATTTGCTAACTGCCATGTTACTCTGATATGTGTGTATTATTTTCTCATAGACTTTAGATTATTTTATATTATACAATATTTAGTATTTCATTTAGGGTGCTTAACCTATGATTTATTCAATAAATGTGTACTGAGTATCTATAATGTACCAGGAAATCTAATAGGATTGATGTCTCAAAGATGGGTAAGACACCGTTTTGTTTGTCAAATGAAAAAAAAAACTTAGTTATGATCAAGTTTTTTAAAAAATGGTAGGGCCAGAGGAGGGATTTGCCCACTTTTCAAACAATTATTTTTCAAAATTTGTTTTTTTTTTTAAATATAAAAAGTAACACATAGGGCCGGGCGTGGTGGCTCACGCCTGTAATCCTAGCACTCTGGAAGGCCGAGGTGGGTGGATCGCTCAAGGTCAGGAGTTTGAGACCAGCCTGAGCAAGAGCGAGACCCCGTCTTTACTAAAAAAAAAAAAAAAAAATAGAAAGAAATGATCTGGACAACTAAAAAAAATATATAAAAATTAGCCAGGCATGGTGGCACGTGCCTATAGTCCCAGCTACTCGGGAGGCTGAGGCAGAAGGATCGCTTGAGCCCAGGAGTTTGAGGTTGCTGTGAGCTAGGCTGACGCCATGACACTCTAGCCTGGGCAACAGAGCAAGACTCTGTCTCAAAAAAAAAAAAAAAAAGTAACATAAAAAAAATGGTAGGGCCCTTAGACAGAAATATAATGTTTCCTATGATAGTATTTCTAAAGGAAGCTCATATTCAACTAACATCATAGAGATTTTGACCAACGTGGTGGCTCTCTAACTTGCTGTAAGTAGTTTAAGAAATGGAAGAATAACTGCTTAATCGATTGTCTTATTCATTCTCAAATGTTTACTGTTGGCCATTTTTCTTAAAGATTAGAGATGGGGTTAAAGAGACTTTCCTAAGCTCTCTGCATAAAGCTGTGCCTGACGAGGGAGGGGCTGTGGCCAAAGCAATTGGGCCACTCAGGAGGCTCATTGCATTATCGAGCGCATTAGCAGAAGAAACGATTTAGAGGGGCCCGATGTGCACTGTGTTCTGAGATGGCTGCTCTGATTGAAATCATTACAGGTAATTTCAGCAGAACCAATATTGTAATTATTTATAAATGTTGGTTTGCAATTCAGCAGCACTCGGCAGGTGGCTCCGAGATGACCCCTGGGGCTAATTACACCCTTTGAGCCTAGCTTCAGGCATGAGTCCAATTTTTTCCCCAAAATATTTTACGTAAAGACTAAAACAGCAGAACCTTAAAAAATAAACCTTGCCAATAACAAATATAAAATATTGGACAGTTCTCGTATTTTCCAGAGGAATGAAAATCATAAATGCAAGGAAAAAAGAACGTATTGTAGAGGCTGCATACAGCCAGATGTATCACAGGCAGGTCCTGTGAAATTCCCCATAACTGAAATGTGTATTTTTGGCCATGCAGGTGGTAGGTTTTTCCTTTGTAATTACTGTGCTACTGTGTCCTTAAGTCTGAGTCTGCTTCATGGCCTTCCTCTCCTCAGCAGAAGCCCTGGGGGTTAGAAAACTGCTGCTGGATATCTGACTTGCACAAGAAAAATCAGAGCAAGTCCAGGGCACTTGGACAGCATTTGTGAATTTTAGAAGGAAAACAATATTCTACCTCCCACTCAAAGGAGCCCAAGCACCAAGAGTTAGTTGTATCTTCCGAATGAAATGCTGAGGTGTCAAACAGCCATCCCCAACAAAGCCTCCATCTGTGTTCACCCACTCTTTCCTCTCCGTAGGGATCTGCACAAAGTTTTGGGTATCTGAGTATAAATCAGTGATGGAAGTAGGGCTCACGTTAAAATCTTTTCCTACAATCCCAGCAATTTAGGAAGCCAAGGTGGGAGGACCACTTGAGGCCAGGAGTTCAAGGCTAGCCTGGGCAAAATTGAGACCCCGTCTCTAAAATAAAATAAAATAAAATAAATTAGCTGAGCATGGCAGGGCATGCCTATAGTCCCAGCTACTCAGGAGGCTGAGGCAGAAGGATTTGTTGAGCCCAAGAGTTTTAGGCTGCAGTGAGCTATGACAGTGCCACCCACTGTACTCTAGTCTAGGCCACAGAGTGAGACCCTGTCTCTTTATTAAAAAACAAAAACAAAACAAAACAAACAAAAAACTTTCACATTTACTATCAAATAGGATTTTCTGGCTTTAAAAGTACTGTTCATTTTGTT